TCCACCAGTGTAGGGCTTTGTCGGCGAAACGGAACGTGCAGAACACCACCCTGTTAGGGCTTTGTCCGTGCGTGTTCATCGTGAATTGTTGCGGGAATACGTTGAAGTAGTCCTCGCACTGGTTAATGAATCGATCCACGTCGTTGGACTCCCCTTTGAACTTTTCGGGGGGATCCGCGAGTTGTGGTTTCACTTGTCCCCACGGATTCGTGTTAGCCACCCCCACGATAAAGGGTGGTGGCGTGTTCGGTGGTTGTACGGGGTCGGCGGGGATAGGGATTGCCGCCGGTCGTGGCAGTGATCGTAATGCAGGGTTGTGATGTGGGGAGAGGGGTCCTGGAAGCGCGGGTGCGGGTACTGCCTGTGCAGCTGCTGCGGCTGCGGCCGCAGCACCCGCGCTTCCTGGCGTTCCTGCGGCAGCGAATAGTCGACTAGGGTCCACGTATCCTGTTCTCTGGAGAATCGATAGGTGATTTAGATCCACCGTGCTCCCACTTGTTTCCGATGGGGTGGGTACCTTGTACCGTTCTCCGGGGTCCGTGTAGTCGTCCGGGTGTACTTGGTTCCATAGCATGTTGGTGTGAAAGATCGTTTCTCGGTAAAGCACCTGGGCTCCGATCTGCGATCTTTTTTCCTTCTGGAAGTACCTCCCTTGCGGCGAACTATTCCACGACAGTTCTCGCGGTAGCTTTTCCTCCGTCCATCGCAACATTTCTAAATATGTCATATTTTCTAGCTCGTCCTCAGTAGGTTCCCGAGCTAGATCCTTCCACGAATTCGGGGATAATATCCTCCTCTCCGTATTCTCCGACCCTATGCTGCTGCTGTAAGTCGAAGTCCGCCCTATTCCAGGGTTCTCGTAGATTTCGCCTTCTTCTAAGTCCGATGGGTCGGACTCGCTCGAAAGGCTCCGTGCTTCCCGTGACGATACGGTTCCAGTTTCTGATGATTCGGGCCCACTCATTGACCCTGAGAATGACCTGATCGAAGTCGGGTCTTCGGGGTCGGTCCCATACCCAAGGTGCGATGTATGGGACGGGGACCGCAAGGGGGTGTTCGGCCGCGAGTGGGTAAATGGCGTAGGGGACGACGGACGCGGGGGGTTCAATTCCCTCGTACATTCTCCATGCGTCGGCGTAGTCCTGTATTTGTCTGCATATATCGCAGCTGGCGTCGGCGTCGTATGTGGGCTCGCATTGGTCGAGCTCGGTAGTTGCTTCCCCGGCCCTATCGTTGATGATGATTGGGGTGTTGGGACGCGTGACGAGCTGAAGGTAGCTTCCTTCGTCGTCTGAGGAGTCGCTACGGGCGTAGTAGTAGCCCCACGTTTCTCCTCGCGAATCGAGGCGGGGAGGGGACCAGTTGTTGGGCGGTCCTGGGAGCTCTTCGCTGTCGTTGTCCTCCTCTGTATCGCTGCCTTCTTCATCTGAACTGCTTCTAGCTCCATCTTCAGGCGCTCCTCTTTCTCCCAGATGATATCTAAGCCCTCTTTGATAGAGGCGCTGTCCGTCTGAATCATATCCAGGGTTGGCGGCTGAGTTTTCGGTTGATGTTGGGGAGGGAGCGTCCCAGGGATCACCTCCTTCGCTTTCCCCTTCGCTTTCTTCTTCGGTAATGGGAGAGAGAACACGCTGGTCCACCCCTTGTTCGTAGACTCCTCGCTCTTCTTCTTCTTCAACGACTGGGCCTCTTTGTGGGGGCCATCCTTCCATCTCGGTGTCGGACTCACTGGACTCGGAGTTTTCTGTGATCCACTCGTCGTCTGTGATGAAGATGAAATGGATAATGGGTTCGGGTCGGTCGTCGACGTAGTCGGGAGGGGGTGTATCCGGTCGTCGAGCCTCCGGGTTGGGGGCTTCGACGGGGATAGTTTCTTCGGAGGCTGGCTCCTGGTTTCGTCGGTACTCGTATCCATATAGGAATGCGAGGTAGGCTATGGCTATGAAGCCTTGAAGTCCAAAGAGGTTGGTGAGGTACTGTTCGATAGGGTTCATTCGTTACTGTTCGTCAACGTATTCGTTGATGAAGAGTAGGAAAGTCTCGAACTAATTGTTAGCGACCGATACAACAAACAAGATCAAACAACTAAGCGTGACTCGCACTTCGGTCAGGCGCTTTATGTTGTCCGCAGGTTTGCGTTAAGGGAGCTATCGCTTAGTGGAGCGAGAGTGAGTTCAGACTAAGTTATCGGGTGAATAAACTTTAGTTCGAGACTGAGGTTTAAGACCTGCAGTCGAGCTACTTAAATACAGTTTGGATCGTGCTAAATATAATACAAGTGTCCGCAACGGTACGGTAAACGTACTGGATCCTCATGGTAGAATGCGATCAAGTCCGGAGAATTAGTATAGCGAGATTACGAGAGAGTCGATAAGATAAGATAAGGCGCGAAATCGTAATACCACCAGTCTGTGCCCTGATCCCTGTATTTGAATATCATATCTGAGTATCTTTACAGAAAAAACACACTTATGGAATCAAGTCCTACGACTCGCCGGGATATCCAGCTGATGGGGAAGCATTAGAGTATTGACTTGTGGAAATGAGTCATTTGTTCTCGCTTCAGTGAGGACTCCAATCATCTGGTACCGGCAAGATGGGAGTGTTATCCATAGAGTAATACATGTTGGATATTCAGAAATCAGCTGGTCATAAGAGAATAACAGCTTACAGGTCCTTCCATCTCCCTATCACATCTTGGCTTCTTGCCTGCATCCCCGGCGAAGCATTCTCCAGGATTTCTATTTTATCATGCATTCCGCCTCCCTCTACTGTTCCACTGCTCTTATCGAAGCTTAAGATTCCCACCAATAGTGATAGCAAGAGCTCTTTGTCAGATAAAAGACAGTAAGCCATGAATCAGATCAAAAAAAAGGATGGGCATACCCTCTACCTTCTCCAAGAACTCGGAAATACTGCTGCCCTTCCTCGTCGCAGTCTCCATATGCCATAATGTCCACGGAGAAAGCGGAGGATAGTGAAAACAATGCCGTGAAACTGGTGAAAAGGTACGTGAAGCCATGAGAGGGAATACATTACTTGCTTATTAAAAGAATGAGAATGAGTTACAGTCCTTATCCCAAGAGCGGAAGGCCATGGCCTTGTTTCGCTTCATGTCCCTGCAAGAAGTTTAGAAATGGTCTGCATAAATGATAAGAAGAACACAAAAAGCCGGAAAGCACACATACATGAAACAGCGGGTAATCAGGAATATGATGCTGCTCTCGTGTCTGGAAATTTATTTCTGCATTGTTGGTGGTGACTCAACATTGAAGCATTCATTATGATATCCTTAAGGCAACATAGGATACCCACCATGGCACGGTGTTCGCATAATAGTATAGTTTCGCCTAAGAAGAAAACTTCACATGAAAGGATGCCATACAGATTTGAACGATGCCGACATGATAATGGAAGAGTTTTAGCATGTGAACGATCGAATTTACATCCTCTTTCAGCTGAGTAAAGATGAGGAGCTAACTCTCTTAGAGTTGACCTTGAATCATTCGAAAAGCTTGTGTGCACATCCTTCCAAGGTGCACAAGTTGAAGTGTCATTGAATGTGGGGCTAGTCAGAAGAAATTTCTTAAATTAAACGGCCTGGCTGATGGAGGAAAACAGTAAGCCAGCTATCTCACATGAAGACGCAGGTGCTTACTGAGTCGTAGGTGGAGAGTGGCATGCAGAGATTGAAGGCCGATCAGTGAATGCATGAATGCGACTTAAACATGCATTATCAGGACAATAATCTTTGTCAGTCTCATCAAATGAGTGAAAAAATAGAGATATGATCAATTGAGTCGATAACTACATGAAGGATAGTTATGCATGTCATGAAAAAAAAAAAAAAAAAAGTTCAGGTCTCAGGATACCTGGAACGTTCCTGCCTGCAAGCAGAATCCCTGGCCCTGTTACCATCAGCAGGTCCAGTTTGTGGTGTGCCAATGTCTGCACCAGAAGTTAGCCGATAGCAGACTGTGAATGGGGGAATACGCACCTTATCAATCATCCATGCACAAGTCCCAATCTTCAAACAGCTCCCAGAGCCCATATCGATGTGATTCCTGCAGTTGACCTATAACGCGTAGCTGCATTCCTTCTGGTGTTGGGATTCTCATGGTTGCAGAATCTGGACTTGTTGGCCTGATCGAACAGCTGTTCAAAGGTACAGCATAGTAATAGTGGTGATGGATGTCGGAGCGAAGAAAACATGGAATGGGCAGTCAGAGCATATCCACTTGGCGTATTACTTGTATCCCGCATCCTGGAGAAGGAATGATAGGCCCCTTGAAATCCTGAGATGCAGCATCAGAGGATTGCTGAACAAGGATCAGGGTGACGATTATCGATGTCGATGTGCCCAGTATGTAATTTCCCTATGTACAGAGATTAGTTGTTGCCTATGTTGTAGAAGGGTTCAACGCCCCAGACAGCCGAGCTACCTGAAGTAAAATGACCAGAATACTACCAGATTCCCTTAGCGACATGCAGCCATTCATACCAATGACCGAAGCAAGTGGTTTTCCGAATGTTCTCAGAAGCTTGAAAGCTAGAAGACTACATCATAGGAATCAGAATAGGTGAACAGTTACAGAAGCATGAAGCAGCTGAGCAGGATATGAGTTGGAGACAACAGCGATGGCGGGGAAAGACAGCAGCAACTGGGATCAAGAAGCACCAACAATTAAATCGGGGTCCTGGCATCCGGTTAAAGTCCTACCCGGTTACCGGTATCATCCAAAAACAGATACAAATTCGATCCTTTTGTCGTGTCCTCTTGAATCTTGGTGGTAGACTACAACAGCCCTGACAACAACAACAATTCACTCTGAAAGCTATAGCTAACAGGCTGCTTTTCATCGTCGCCTCCACCGTCAGGTAGGCCCATGCTTCCTCAAAGAAAAACTCCTTGCTCATCAGCTCATTGTAGGTATGGCACTTACTGGTGAATGGTCGACTCGACAAAATTAGGCTTTGATGAGGACCCGTCTCTCATTCTGACTTGCTGCCTCAAGAAACAAACATCGCCTCACAAGGCCCGCAAAATATGTCTCTTCACTCACCTGCTAGTGACCCGCCGATGAAGCTAGGTGTCTATCGTGTACTTTCCGCCCAAGCTGGCGTGAGGATATCCCCCATGATGCTAGATGCGATGTCAGTCATAAATTGGTATGTTTATGCTGTGAAACACCATCCTTGATCTCACAGGTGCTATAGGAAGCACTAGGGATGGGTTCGATGAACAAAGAGTCTAAGTAGTTTCAAACTCCTGGACCCATACTTTGATATGGGTGGCAATTTTATTGATACGGCTAATGGCTAGTATGTCACATCTCGCGTATTATGTTACCCTGCTTATGATACTTCTTTCAGTCAAGATGGATCCTCCAAGGAATTCATTGGGGAATGTGCTGAACAGCGAGGCATTCGGGATTAGCTCGTCATAGCAACCAAGGTTCGTTCCTTCCATTGCGCATCATGAATGGTATCCTCATACAACACAGTACATTGCTAACTAAAAATGCGACGACGGTTCTATTGTGCAGAAAGTCAATTATGTCAGGAACAGCTCCAAGTCCTTATACCTCAGCGTCGAGCCAAGCCTTAAGAAACTCCACATGGACTATAGCAACATACTTTATCTGCACTGGTGGGACTGTGATACATCCATTCACGATCTTATGGATAACCTACATTACCTCGTCTCACTCCGCAAAGTCTTATACCTGGGGATCTCAGATGCGCCTGCTTGGGTAGTAGCTCAAGCAAACCAGTGCACATTGGACTACAGGAAAAAACCATTCTTGGTATACCAAGGCTGGTGGAACATCATGATGAGATCATTTGAACGGGAGATCATCCTGATGACCAGGGTGTTTGGGATGGCCCTTGTTCCGTGGGATGTACTCACTGCTGGGAGGTTCAGGACAGATGAGGAGGATCAGAAGCGAAAGGAGACAGGAGAGAAAGGGAGGACGATATCTCATCCGGATTGGGAGAGGAATGAGTTTGAAGTGAAGGTTTCGAATTGCTGGAGATCGTTGCAAGTGAGGTTGGCGTGCAAGGCAATACCAATGCTGGTGTGTTTAACCGCTGTCTCCTATGCAATTCTCTGTTGTTTTTGCTAGTCGCAATCGCTATGTCATGCACAAGACTCCATACGTCTTTCCGATCATTGGAGGCCGAAAATTCTCCCAGGCAATTGGACACATTGAAATCTTGATAGCCCATGAACACAGCCTAGAACCTGAGTGATATTGCATGAACATTGCCACTGTAGATCACATTGCTGTATTTTTAGAGCTTCATCTGTTCATTGCAGAGATGGTTCGTCCAGAGCGTGATGAAGGGAGGTTAAAACATGTGTCATGAGCCTGATGAAATTGACACGGATCAGTTTTGCTGGGGTGTGATATCAGAATTATCACAGTAGTTCGAAACAAACCCTTTGTAATGATATGCTGTCAAGTTGCAAGTTGCAGAGATTGATGTATAAGCCTCAAATGGAGCCATTACACAGCTGGTAGGGTGAAGTCTGGGTGTATTTATGGTTACATTGACATCTGTATAGTACCAAGCACAGGAGTCAAATGAAATCACTCTTGGACTTCGTAATTGAGAGGTCCCCCTGGGTCTGAATGGGCCGACTTATGATTGAATGAGTGACTAACCCAAATCTCAGAGAGTGGGATGCCAATATCCTGCAGGAAAGACTGAATGAGGAGTCGAGACAATGGCTAGTGATATCAGTCTAATACACACACTGTTTCTTGGGTATCACCTTCTGAAGTGTGCAGTGTGATCCTAACGATGGTAGGAATTGAGTGTTTTGAACGCTCTGCAACAAATTGGGTCGATGGGCATTTAGGCCAGTAATTAAGCCTACAACGATTGAGCTTCAGGTAAAAATCTCAAAAAGACAACATACATAGCAAGCAGGGAGTTGACATAAACTGAATATATTTGTTAGCCCTTTAAATGGTTAAGAAGTAAGACTCACATTTTGGCAGAGCAAAATCGATGCCAAGGAAAATAAGAGACTTGGGCCACACAATGTACTGCAGATATTCATGAGTTCCTTGCATAATTGAAGCTGGAAGACAACTAACTGCAATAAGAGCGAGCAGAGAGCATGCACTGTCATTTTGATCAGGAATGATGGTGACTAGAATAAAAAAAACATTTTCACCTTGTAGCTAACCCCGAGACAAGAATCATTCACATTAGAGTAACAGTGACGGCAGAAGTTCTACACAGATATAATTCAGAGCTAGAAAATATGGTGAAGAAATCAACTCACGAAGAGAATTGTGTATCTTCTCTGACCTTATGCAGATAATAGCACATCATGAGAGCTATAATGAAATCTGTTGCAGCTATCACAGAGAAGAAGGTGTAAATCGATCTCTATATTATGTATGTAAAAATTTGTGACTTTCCGGAGTATGGAAGACCTACTTTGATGATGGAGATGGACATGATGTTCGGCGTGATATAACTATTCAAATTGACCTCAATGCTATGTGAAGCTTTGAAGTTTTACTTACATATCATAGGTTATATCTGTAACCATCCCCATCAGTAACATTGTAGCAAGGGAAAGAGTAGTACTTTACATATTCCTGTGCCTGAAAGAAACAGAAGATGCATAATGAGGGAAATGAGTGGAAGCAAGAAGAGCGACCCTTTTACCAAGTGATGCTGCTACTGTGAGAAACTATTCAATAATAAGAAGAGATAGGAGATCCGGGTATTTAACGCCATACTTACCATGAACCACGAGAGTATTTTATTAAAATGCCATCCTACTAAGAAGAAGAGGTTAGGCCTTGCCATGATCCTTAACTTCAAGTAGGGTACGCACATTTCCACAGTCAGATAGCATATAACCTTGAGGAATATAACAGTAAGAATTTGCATTCTGCATAGCAATGGCATCCCAGCTCTTACCCTTGGACATACATGACAATCACCACATTTATGGCCAGTTGTAGCTGGACATGAAAGCTATCATAAGAGCTGCATGATCAGAACTGCGAGTAAAGTTGTACCTTCATGCTCCTGTAATGATGAATCCTCATTGAGGTTACTGTGGTGCTTCCTCCAGAGTCTCAGGATGTACCAAGTGTTATTCCCTAGGGCACCAAGCAAGGTGCCATGCATATCGATGAGATAGTAATACAGGGCATAGGTGCTTAAAATCACATGAAGAGCATCAAGCAACCTATGAACATAGTAATAAGTCACCATCACATCTGACAGGAATGAGCAAACAAACCAAAGTAGTGTGACCTATGCTGGATGATTTAGTGTGATGTTGACATTGAAAGCATTCTGACGTACAGAGTAACGGTAGAGTGACCAATCATCAGGGTAGCTCTTGTAGTAGATGAGTGTGTGGAATATTGATGACCCTGTGGCTGTGTGAGCTGGTGCGATGTCCAGTTAGCCCGAGTTTTGCTGAGTAAGGATTTACTAAGAGAAAGAAAGTACTAGAAGATACAAAATGGTATTTAAGTAACTAGATTTCATAGTATTCTGTACTCATTTGCCTTCTAAGCAAACATTAACTACTCACTAGGCAAACATGCCTGAGCACATGGTGCGCATGTTATACAACAGAGTGTTTGTAGATTCGTTATTCCGAATAACCTATGAAATGGATGAGATGGCATTTCCCAGAGTAAAGAAGCGTACATAGAGGCAATAATAGTGCCAATAAAGAGAGCACCGAATGTATTCCGGATGGTTGGCATATCTCTCAAGTATTTCCAGGACATTAGGTGTAAAAAAGAAAGCTGGTATGTTTCCTTGACTTATAGAGGAGAACATACTCCTATCGCTGGGGAAGGAACAGATGGTTAAATGAGCAATCAACATGAATGTTGATGTAACTCACCTCTGGAAACCTGAGCTTGATATCTCAGCACTATGATTGGAGCTCCAAAGTCAACATTGCATGTACCTCTGGAGGAGGTCAATCAGAAGCAATTTCAAATGGGTGTAGAAAGCAGATGCAATCCTACTTTTATTGGATGTGATACACTATGAAGCTCCGAAAGATTCAGCGAAGGATGCTTGTATTGAGAAAGAGCGCATCACCTTGGCCCAAGGGATATTCTAGACCTGTGACCTACCCCCAACACTATGCATCAATATGTGCTCACTGTAGTGTATTTGCAAGATCTAGCCCTGCTCGATTCTTTTCTGCAAGTATGTTATTGTAATCATTCGTACATTGCGGAATTCTGCTTGAAATCATACTGCAATGTGAATTCAAGCCTTTTCCAAAGTCGAGGAGAAGGCTGAGTAGCAGAGCGAAGGTACGGTTTTGGTTCGCCCCTGACATCACACTGCAAAACACGGAGGTTATGCTCATTGCCAATCTTGGCTCGATGAATGGGCTGGTGAAGTACTTGATAGCAGCATCTCTGCCACCTTCTTGTAACTTTACAGGGATTCCTCAATTCTGATCTGATATGCCTGGCTAGAAAAAATCACGCTTCACTCATAGGATCGTGAACCGATGAAAGTCCGCAATATTTACAAGGAATCAAACACTCAGTCATACATTCCATAGGTTCCTGGTGATATTGTGCCTAGATAACACTGCACTGAAGAGTCAATGGTTGGGTTGTGGCAATTCAGGTGAGCATAGAATGATACATTTCCCATCTAGCTGGACGAGTTGGCAGCACCTGTAAAAATAATCCTCTGTTATTTAAAACTTGGGAAGGCATGTCTGTTCAAGCTAACAACTGCTAAGATATCGATAGTGAGTGTAGTGAAGGCACTAAACTTTCAAGCAGAGAATAGTCGGGATAACTCTATGGTGCTGTTTCTCACGTTGAAGATATAATTCAGGTAAGCAGCCTAGGCATCGAATATCAGCTCCAGACCCCCTATGAGATGGTAAACTGACATCTAAGATGTTCTTGGTGTGAAGGCCAGGAAAAGAGGGAATGATGCCTACAGTTGTTCCTATCTTTCCCTTTTGCTTTTTGAGTGTCATTCCTGTCCAAGGAACGATCTGGGATCAAAAATTCAGAAATCCTGGTCATCGGAGTAGCGAAAGAAGAAAGCTTGACAGGGGCATACAAGATGTATATGAACACGGATCACGAGAATAATAAAGCGCTATGTTGAAAGACATGATCTCAATAAGAAGGGAAACAATAGTGTGACCGACAACATTTCCTGCCCGAACAATTGACCAGTGCTTCTGCTCTATTTTTCCTCTACAGATATATAGATTGCTTGAGAAGAGGGTGCACTGTCTGAGTCCCAGTGAAAAGTGCCTTGAAGGAGATGCATTGACATTGATTTATATCAATGTGGTGCAGCCAAATAGAAGCAGCTCGAAGCAAAACAGTAGAGACATAATTTGATGTTGTTCTTTGACTCCTTTAACCACTTATTCTTGTGGCCATCTTTACAATGATTTTTTTTCTACACTGGAAATTTCTCGTGACTTGGTGCCACTGCAGGCTGGCTCTTGCATCAAAAATTTCTATTCTGGCTTTTTGGTGTCCACACCTTCGGCTTCCTCTTAGTGAAGTAATACTTCCCACAGCTCTCTGCTGCATTCAGAAACACAATTCTTGTGATGCCACCTCCACATAAAACCGAGAATAGAGTCTACTGCCAATGCAAATCCCATAACTGCGTTGCCGAGAGTGCTCTTGGCAAACTTGTCACACCTCAAACCCGGAGAGATCACCAAAATTTGGACAAGCAACTTGGGAATGACAACCTGAGCGACACTGCCACTTCAAGTCAATGTTATGCTGCCCAAAAATGATTACATGTATCCAGCAATTCTGCTAATGTTCACGATGAGTCAGACATTCATAAAGCCAAGCATGGTCGGCTGGCCGAGGCAGGATGGGAGACCTTGCAAGGTGGTAATTATAGTAGTGAGGTGGCTCTAGTTGATAGTGAAAGCTACAATGAGGTGAGTAGTTACTCTAGGGCTATAACTTGAAGTGCTGATTTTCTCTTAGATTCCTACCCTTCATTCACATTCTCCTGTACAGTCCGCCTCCAATACAGTTATCGATTTTGATGATCAGATGGAACTTGATGAGAACATTGCAGCTCCCATGCCTGCTGGATTCAATGGACTAAGGGATACTGAAGAACTTGACAACAATGACAATTTTCGTGATCCTGGATGTCTAGATGATCTTGACACAGATGAACCTGAATCTGAGGAACCTCCAATTCATGGATCTCAGGTGCCAGAAACCTCCCAAACTCCACCTAACCAAGCATGCTTGCCTAGTGACAAGCCACATACCCCTCCTGAGCCCGCATGGTCTGCGATCAATGATGTGAGAATTGCCCAGAAGTTCATTTGGGAGCTACAGAATGCAATGGCAGATGACTGTGATGCCAACTTCATAGACAACCTTTGATATCCGCCAACTGAGCAGTTATCCGTTGATGATCCATATCATCTTCTTTCGCTTGACATCTTTCTCTCTGTATATAATGCCTCTGAACATGCGTATACTTCTGTATGCAATTCAATTCAGCGGTGTTTCCCTGATGTTGAGCTTCTCTCATTCTACTGAGTGAAGTGACTGGTCGAATTATTGAGCAGCATCATACCATACCAATCAGTACTGACATGTGCGTAAATTCCTGCGCTGCATATACCGGACCTTTCAAGATGCTCCAATGCTGTCCCTATTGTGCTGAGCCTCGCTATACATTGGAAAACTCATCTATACCATGCCAACAGTTCCATACGATGCCCATTGGTCCACAGTTACAGGTAATCTGGCGAAGTCCTGAGGGTGTGCAAAGCATGAAATATTGAGAACAGTGCATGCAGATCATCCTCCAAGAGCTTCAACATACTGGGGGGGAGAAAATCTCTGCATACCAGGATTTCTTTGATGGAACAGATTACCTTGAGGCCGTTCTTGATCAAAAAATTAAATCGGGTGATGCAGTACTCATTCTCTCAATCGATGGAGCACAACTGTATCGAAACAAGATTTCAGACACATGGATCTACATCTGGATCATATTAGACAGAGATCCAAGTGTGCGATACAAGAAGAGTGTTCTGCCAGGTGGTGTTATTCTGGGGCCCAATAAACCCAAAAACATCGACAGCTTCATGTTTCCAGGCTTGCACCATCTTGCCATCATTCAGAAAGAGGGACTTGTTATCTGGGACTCGAGCAAAGCGGGTTTAGCATATGAAGTTTCTCCTTCTCCATCTGATGCATGTTTTACTTCAAACTCATTTTTGGCACTTGTTACTGCAGATGGGCCAGCCCAAGCCTCTCTGAGTGGTTGTGTGGGGCACCATGGCAAGTATGGTTGTCATTACTTTTGCCCTCTCAAAGGCAGGCATAAGCCTGGTGGAACACACTACTATGCTGAGCATTACAAACCTGATAATTTTGATGTCCCTGGATGCTCTCATGATGATGTTGATTTGCGGAATCTACTTTCAACATTCGATGCTTCATCTTGCGAGCTCCGATACAAACAAAATCTTGCCTGGGTCATTGCCTCACCAAATAGAACTCAGTATGAGGCATGTCGCCTTGAAACTGGTATCTCAAAGCCTAGTATTTTCTCAGGTCTTCCACAGGATCACATGCTCCCTATGCCAACTTGCTTTCCTGGTGATATAATGCACCTTCCCTGCCTTAACCAGACAGATCTCTATCTACCACTTTGGTGTGGAACATTTGAATGTGACACCACCACGGATGATCGAAGTTCGTGGTATTGGGCTGTGCTGAAAGGGAATGTGTGGAAGGAACATGGTAAGCTGGTTGCTGCAGCTACACCTTGGATTCCAGGTTCTTTTGATCGTCCCCCACGAAATCCAGCAGAAAAGATTTCAAGTGGATATAAAGTTTGGGAATATTTGCTCTACTTTTTTGGCCTTTCTCCTGCACTTCTCTATGGCATTCTTCCTAACGATATCTGGGAACACCACTGTAAAAATGTCCGTGCTTGGCAAATCATGCTACAAGATGAGATACAACCAGACAAACTTACTGAAGCTGACACCCTATTCACGGAGGTATCTGATGACTTTGAAAGAATCTATATTCAGCGATGTATGGATCGTATACATTTTGGCTGCCAAAGCGGACATTCCCCTAGTCATCTACCACAAGGAACAACAAGAAATGGACCTTCTATCATATATTCGCAGTGGCCAATGGAATGAACTATTGGTAATCTAACTGAGGAGGTCCATCAACATTCCACTCCATTTGCCAATCTCAGTGAGCATGCTCTCCATCGCTGCCGTGTCAATGTGCTTAAGGTGATGCTTTCTGAGCTGGATTATGACACTTCGAAGAATAGTATCCCACGAAATGCACTAGATCTTGGTGGAGGTTATGTTCTTCTCCCACGAGTTGATAATGTCTGATGTGATATCCTCGAATGTGAACAACATGCCATCAAATCATACCTGCAGGGACTTGGATACAGATTGGCAGCAGAATGGCAGTGTCCTCAGGTACACCAATGGGCAAGACTTCACCTTCCCACTGGACAAAATGCCTGCTCACTATGGATTGAAGCATGCAAACCTTTGAGCTGTTTGCGATCCTCAAGACATGTAAAGGTATATTGATCAGATTTAAATCTTGAGGAAGTTCTAACAAACAATTCATATCCAGATTTACATGAATGGCCAGAGTTGCTTTGGTGAAGTGCAATATTATACCCAGCTAACTCTTGGAAAGCAGGGCACCATGAAGGCCATTGCCATAGTCTCCTTATTTTCAATGCCAAATGCAGAGCTTATAAGGCAATCACATGGTCAGTATGCTACATTCCACCATCAAGGAGATCTTTCTGTTCATGCCATCGATGTGCATGATATCGAATCTGTTGTAATGATGGCTCCAGACCAACACTATGGATTATTTCATCAAGATGGGACAGAGACAAATTGGTGGTACTTGATGGAGCGGCCAAATGTCAAGCTGGCATCTATGGAAGGGTGGTGTTACGATTTATTCATTTTTCTTCGTTTTACTCAGCCTGATTATGTCTATGCGATCCCTGCGGATCATTTCCCACAGTACTATTTTTAGCATACTCATTTGTATTTAAGTAGAGCCTCAGCTGGTCTAAACCCCAGCTTCGGCTAAGGTTTAATCTACCTAACATCGAACTCCGACTTCGTGACTATCTGTCCCATCGACTTTTGTCGCCTTTGACTTGCTAGAGTATCGTCTACCGAAGTGCAAGTAGCGATCCTAGTACGATCTAAGTCGATTATAGTTAGTGGCTAACATTTAGCCGAAGCTCGTCCTACGTTGCCCAATGACGTACCATTGCCCAACATTTTCCCAATCATCCTTTTAATTGTCGTCGCACTCTCCGTGCTGCGATTTCTTCTCAACGATCCACTCGGACTGGTTGTAGTAACCATTCTCCGAGTCTTCCTTGCTTGCGTATATGTCCCATCCCCACTGTTTGCAGGATTCCTCCTGCTACTCTGGGTCGGATTTCTACGCCATTATTAAAAACATGAAACCCTTCATTCTCGCCCTCCAGCTCACTTCTCTGCTAACAATTTTATTGTTGGTACTAACGAGCACCTCCGAAAACTGCGAAATCCTGTTGATGAACGGCTCCAACTACGAGACCGACCTCAGCTTGGTTATCGTATTCCTTATTGTCCTCACCGTACTTGCTGTCTACCAGCTTGCATGGTCAATCGTCGACTTACGCCAAGGATAAATCCACTCACGGATGCCCTGGTCCGACAACATTCTCGCCGTCTTCGCGACTTTTATACTCTTTTTCTTCTCCATTATTTTGTACCGACTACGCCATTGTTTTCAACAGAGGCGAGTCCGCGCACAACTCCCATTCCATTACGTTCCCAGCACTCCGGCGTACCCTCCGCCAGTAATCCACATCCCCGCGGCATCCCAGCAGACAGTACGAGATGTCGAGTCCAACGTCTCCGAGGGATCTGGAGGATCCCTCTACACATCGTCGCGACCCAGATCGCAATCCTCAGAGTCAAGCACAGACTCCTACAGAAGCGCCTCCAGCGCAGCAGTCGACTCAGTCGACATCACCGATACCAGGAGCGTACTCCTCGACCGAGGAGACTCGCCCTTACCAGGTCTCTTTGACCAGTCTCCAGTTGAAGGCGAGTCAAGTACCGACCGAGGCCGAGGACAAGGCACCAGGCCTCTGGACGAGGGTGAAGAAAGCCCTGACACCGAGTTTGAAGGGGACGGGCTCACAGAGTGGGAAAGAACCCGACTCGACGAGCTCCTCGACGACCTCTACCCGAATGAGGAGGAAAATGCGGCCTATACCGGAGACAACCACAGTGGAAGGTCAGGAACTCAGTGGACAGACGTGGTATGGCAAAGCGAGAGCAGGAGATATAGGGTTGCCCAGGAGGATGACTACGAGAGCGATTCCAGAGAGCTTGGCCTCGGAGCCTCCGCGGCTACCACCCATGCAGCTGAGCCACAGCCTCTTCCAAGGTCCTGGCCGACCGATAGGGGAGAACCTGTCGGTTGGCACCCCAGCACCAGCTGGGTCTACGCAGACCGGCAAGAGACTGCTGTGGCCGGAGTCGCGCCCCGAGGAGAGCCCGACTCGATCCCTGAGGGGCCCGAGACCCGTACGGTCGACCCCGCCGTCACCACGCATGAGCCGATGGATGGGGAGCTTTGGGGCAAGTTCCCAGACTACGACGCCGAGGAACTTGGAACAGTTACCGTTTCCGAGCGACTCGCCGGAGTCACCAACTGGGAACCGTCGGTACAAGCAAGAGCCTTCGCTACCCCCGTCCCGGCCTCCCAGCGTCCATGGCCCCTACTCTATCACACGTACGTCAAGTCCCTCGGACTCTCTCGAGCTGCCCGGCTCGCCCCAGAAGTCGAGGCCCAAATGGAGCGAGGCCAAGCGCATGACGCACGCATTCGACGTGCCGAAGAAGACGCACTCCAAGGACCCGGAGGCTGGTGGGACCTCCCCCTCGAGCCCGACGCCACCGACGCCGAAGTCGAGAATCGAATCCGCGCCACCGCAGTCCGATACTCCGGTGCCACTCGAAGAGCGGGCACCGATCTCGAGGCTAGAAGAAGAGCCTGGAACGCCTACCAGGCCGAGATCAGCAATGAGGATTCAGACATCGCGAGGTGGAGAAGGAACCAAGAGCTCGACCGGATCACCCGAGAGAGGCAGGAGGCCCAGAATGCCGAGTCGACCGCCCAACAGCTCCCTCGAGACTGAGGTGATGAGGGCGGTCCGAACGATTCTGGTGGACCCAGCAGCCCCGACGCCGACAATCTTTAATATCCTTCCATGGCACGGGCTGTACAAAATCATGATGGAAGACATGGAGAAGGACTCCCAGTGGCTCCTCACGGAGGCGGGAGAAGATTATCTATAT